TCCAACCAATATTCTTTTTTTTTTTTTTAAATTGTGCTTTAGGTGAAAGTTTACAGCTGAAGTTAATTTCTCATTCAAAAATGTATGCATATGTAGTTTTTGCAACATTAGTTGCAATCCCCACAATGTGACAGCACACTCCCCCTTTCCACCCTGGGTTCTCTGTGTCCGTTGGACAAGTTCCTGTCCCTTCCTGCCCTCTCATCCTGCTTCTGGACTGGAGCTGTCCATTTGCTCTCGTATATCTGATTGAACTAAGAAGCACATTCCTCATGTAGACTATTTTTTTTTTTTATAGTCCTGTCTAATCTTTGTCTGAAGAGTGGGCTTCGGGAATGGTTTCAGTTCTGGATTAACAGTGCGTCTGGGGGCCATAGTTTCGGGGGTCCAACCTAAAAGTTTCGCTCTCTGCCCTCAAAAATGAACAAATTACTTGTACAGGTTTTGTATACAGGAAATATATGCCTCCTCCAGACTGTCCGCAAATGCTCTTAGGAGGGCAGATGTTGCAATAATAATAATAATAATATTAACTTTCTGCTATTTGCAGAATGCTCTAGAATTTACAAAACACATTCAGAAGATACTGGAATAGTGGAAAAAGCAGGAGATGAGGGGTGTCAGACACATCTGGGTGTGACTTGCAGACCCTCTCCTTCCTCTCTGTGTGACTTAGGGAAATCACGGCCCCTCTGTAAGTCTGGATCCTGTGTTGATAAGGTGCTCACCTCACCAGCCTGTAGGGAAGTCAAAGCTCTGAGAAGGGCAGTGACTTGCCCATGGTCCCCAGGGGAGGAGGAGGTAGAGATTGCCAGGGTGGCTGCCACCTGGGGAGGCAGAGAATGGGAGCCTTGGGCAGCTCTCCAGGAAGCCACAAGTAATCCCTATTCCCTTAGCCCCCCTCTTTCTGGGTGAGGTGCTCAGAGCTCTGATCTTTGACTCTGGTGAGAGAGAACCTCGAGGACTTATTTCAGGCTCACCCCTTGTCCCTGTCTGGACTAAAGCCAGATCCGTTGGTGGAGATAAGATGCTTTCTGGGTGTGACCCCCACCAACAAAGTGACCCTTTTATTGCTGGAGCTAGATGGCTCCTGCTGGAATCTGAAGGATCATAGACTGCAGGACCTTGGATGAGTCACTTAACTTCTCCGTGCCTCATGGCCTCCCTGTAAGACCAGAACAATGATGGAGCTATGAGGCCTATGTTCTGATGGTCTTGGAACAGCTGGCACATAGTAAGTTCTGTCATCGTTACAGTCTCTGAGCCTTAGTTTTAGTCTGTGAATGGGGATGATGCTATTGACCTTACAGGGCTGCAGGGAGGATGCATTGAACAATTAGTAATAATTGTAATAAAATCAATAGTCAAAATGTACCGAACACTTCTTATGGGCCTGGCACTGTTCTAAGAGCTTTGCATGAATTAACTTATTGGATCTTCAAACACGCCAATAGTCTTGATAACAATCCTTACATGACCCCTATTTTACAGATGAGAAAATCTGGCTAAGGTGACTTGCCCAAGGTCACATAGCAAGAAAATAGCAGGGTCAGGATTTGAACCTAGTGGCAGTCACTGCTTCCTAAGCCCTTGGGTGCCAGCATACTGTCACTGGTGTTTATTTGACATATTATTTAATTTAATCCTCATGCCAATCCTACAAGGCTGGTATTATTCTTCTTATCCTTATACTGCAGCTGAAGATGCTGAAGGCCAGAGACTGGTTAGGTGATGTTCCCTGGGGAACACCAACATCAGCTTGTGATGTCAGCTTTCAGGACCTGCTTCTGCAGTGGGCCTGACTGGGGGTTTCTGGCCTCTTTCTGCGTGTATTCAATAACAGGGAGCACTCACCTTCCAAGGCACTCATTACTCCAGCTGTTTGGAAGCTCTACCTGAAGAAAAGCTGAAATCTGCCCCTCTCAGGGGCAGAACTTGGTCTTAGGGTCAGCAACAACAGGCCCTCACCCCCCTCCTCCCCTGGACATGGTTTTGGCTCCACCTTGTCCTCTGACCAGCCACAGACAATCAATAGCCCTTCGGTGGATCAGAAGCTAGACCTGCCCCATCTGCAGAGAAGGATTGAGCTGACTGGCACCTCCCCTGTTCTGGACACCCACTCCCATTGACGTCAAATCTACTGATGACTGGATCAAGTGACTGGAAACTTCAGCTCCAGCTTGGAAGTGATGGAGAGCCCCAAGGAGATCTAAATTCTAGATGTTCAGTGTTTGAGTCTAAGTGAAGTGGCTTGTGGCTTCGGAGAGGAGCTCCAAATATACTGTCAGTCCCCATCCCACTCTTGTGGCTAACCCAAAGCTTAGTCTGAGCCATCAGAAATGGCAGAGAGGAAACCAGGGAGATAAAAAGAGTGTGGGGAAATAAACTTCCCTGGGTTTCTCAGTGTTTTGGTAAAAAGCCCTAGCTTCCTGAGACTTTTCACATACTATGAGAATTAGATTTGTAGTTATTTGTATGCTCTGATCTGAAAGAATAATAAAACTCTTATCTCTTCCTGAGAGGGCCACATGGTAACAGCTTGGACAAAGTTCCTAGATTAAGCCCCCAAGAGGCCAGGAAGACTGGAGTAGCTCTCTTCCTAAGTGGGCCAGCATACGCGTCAGATGTGAGTATGCAGCATGCAAGAGCTACATTTCCATAAGGAATGAACCCCAGCACTTGGAGACAAATCCTAGAACAAAAGGGGCTGTCTGGTTTCTGAGGAGATTTTATTCACATACCAGAGAGTTGGAGTACAGAGGAGACCCTTTCAGGAGGGAATGGGAACAGCTGTCTCCTTCGCCTTTATAAGCAGGGAAAACACTTTCCTTGTTGCTCACCTATGGGGTGTCTGGCTACTGGCGCAGGACAACTGACCTGGCTCCCCTCAGCTTTGCCCTTGTGGCAAGGATGAAGACAAAGGGAGACTGAAGCATTCACTATTTATTGTAAGGTATATGATAAAAAAGTCTGTCTCTGATCCAGAATATCTTGTGTGCACATTCAGGATAAAAATGAATAAAGATAAATATTAAAAACTCAATAGAGGCAAAGAGACAGTCCAAAGGGGAGATTAAGAGACTGAAACAGAAACAGAAACTCAGACTGAGAGAGGCCCAGAGCAGTGGGGAGAAATGAGCAAACCCAGGTAAGGGCTGAGGTAAGCCGAGGGAAAAAGAGAGGCCGAGAGGGCGAAAGAGAGGGACTGGGTGAATCTGTGTGTTTATTCATTCATCACACCTACTGTGTGCCACACACTTTAGTCTAAGCTGAGACAAGTAGTGAAAAAAACTTACATTCTGTTGGGAAGACACAGACAATAAACCAATAAATAAAATATATTGCATATCAGATGGTGGTAAGTGTCATGGAGAAGAATAAGGGAGGGAAGGGAGATGTTGGGGAGATGTGAGATTTTAAAATCAGGGATTTAGGACAGGCCTCATGGAAAAAGAGACATTTGAGTAAAGATCTGAGGGAGGAAAAGGAGAGAGCCACGCAATATGGGGGGACAGCAATTGCAAAGGCCCTGAGGCTGGAGTATGCCTGGTGGAATAAGCAAGGGGGAGAGGGGTGAGAGAGGAGATCAGAGATCAGAGATGAATGGGATCAGAGAGGAATGGTCTGGCTGGCCACTGCAGGACTTTCGTTCTCATTCTGAATGAAATTTAAACTGAAATTTGAAGGACAAACTTGAAAGCCTGAGGCTCCAAGGGCAAGACTGAGCTCTGGGCTGCAGGCTCTGAATTTGGTTTTCATTCATTCAACTGTCCCTCTATCATTTACTCCTCAAGCCTTTTTTGAAGGCCCACTTCGCCCAGGGCTTGTGCTGGGCACTGGGGAGGATAACATGTAAAAGACCCTCCCCTCAGCTCTGGAGGAAGAAGATCTTCCAGGGTGGGGTGGGATCCTGTCCTCCCGCAGGTTGGGATATGACTATCAGGGTGACCTTGATGAGCCATAAGCTTGGGGAATGAGTGGGTGGAAAGTGGGGAAGGGGCTGCACCAGAGGAGGAGGGAGGTTGGAGAGTGTGGGGGTGGGGGGAAGGGAAGGGAGAGAAAGGGGAGAACAATACAGGTCATGTTTCTGTCTTTTCTGTGGTGCGGGAGGCCCAGTCTCCTGGTTGGCTCTGAGCTCAGGCTTCAGGCTGAGCTGGGGAGGAGACAGTGGGATGGGCCAGGACAGGTGGCCCTGACATGTGATGCCCGCCTGCTGACCACTCAGTCCTCACTTTTAGAATGGTTTCCAGAAGTAATGGGAAGGGTCGGGCAGGGCAGCTAAATATAGTTCTCTGGCCATGCCTCAGGCTGGCTTCCTGTCTGCAGTTCACTGTGTGCCCATCACCCATGACGTCCACTGCCAGCTGCTCCTGTGAGCCTTATCCTCTAGTACCCATCTTCCCCTGCTCTGAGCTTGCTGCTTGATCCTCACCTGTCTTCACACACAGTTCTGACAGGCCTGTGGCTAGGCGTGACCCTGACTGGGCCTCCTGGAGTCTCTTTTGACCTAAGATCCCCAATCAGACCTGTGAGTCTTGTGGGCCTGGAGATGTGGGGGAGGGAGGGCTGGGAAACCTGGAGGGTGGGTGAGAGTAGAGGTGGGGGCTCTGGAGAATTTGGGGCTGGGGCAGGACCTGGAACCAAGGCATGTGTCACAGGCTGAGTTCTGTGACTAAGACAGGGACAAGGACAGTGGGTAAGACTGTGTTTGGGACGCAGGTTCGTGTTTAGGAACTGGAGTTGAGAAAAGGGGCCTGATAAGGGCTACTTTCTATCTGGCAGAATTGCAGCTGAGGCTGCCTTTGGGATTGAGACCGACTACCCTTTCCCCCTTGGCCAGAACCAGAGTCCCTTCCTGTATGGGATGTGAGAGGACCTTACGGCCTGGGCCTCCTCACTGTGGGGGCTGCAGACTGGGCTTGGGGCTAGGCCCGGAGCAGGGCCAGGAGCGTGGCCCCGCTGAGCTCTCCTGACCTACCCCTCCTCCACCCAGACCGGCCATGTCGGCCACACCCGGCCTCCTGCACCAGGAGCTGTCCTGCCCGCTGTGCCTGCAGCTGTTCGACGCGCCCGTGACGGCTGAATGCGGCCACAGCTTCTGCCGCGCCTGCCTGGGTCGCGTGGCGGGGGAGCCGGCAGCCGACGGCACGGTGCTCTGCCCCTGCTGTCAAGCACCCACACGGCCGCAGGCACTCAACACCAACCTGCAGCTAGCGCGCCTGGTGGAGGGGCTGGCGCAGGTGCCTCAGGGCCACTGTGAGGAGCACCTGGACCCTCTCAGCATCTACTGCGAGCAGGACCGCGCTCTCGTGTGCGGTGTGTGCGCCTCGCTCGGTTCGCATCGCGGCCACCGCCTGCTGCCTGCCGCCGAGGCCCATGCGCGCCTCAAGGTGCGAGAACCGGCTGAGATCCAGCGGGGGCGTGGCCTGGCTGATGAGGGGCGGGGCCTGACGGGCAGGTGGCTGTACTTACTTGAATTCTGAGCGTCAGGGGTGCATGGGCGCCCGGGAGTGGGGGGGGGGACGCGGGCGGGCCCACGCGGCCAGGGAACGCGGTTCCACCAGCTGAAGGCAGAGGAGCGGAGCAGGGAGGGGTCGGGTCCAGGTGGATTAGGAGCGGGTCCTGGGGGGACGCGCTATGTAAACTTGCATTCCCTCGCCTCAGGCGCTCAAGCGCTGGTGGAGATGCAGCAAGACGAACTTGGGGCGGAGCCTGGCAGAGCAGGGACGCAGTCCGTGCGTGCGGCACACGAGGGTTTCCGTGGACTGCGTGGTCCTGTCAGGCTGGCACTTTTGCGTGGCGTAGGCCACGTAGGCCAGGCGGTCGGATGTGAGGCTGTCCCAGTCTACACAGCCGCACCGTGGAATTCCACACGCCCTTGAAGCTGCAGAACTAGCGCGTGCCTGGCTGTCGCGAGGTGGGCCCTCACCGAAAGCGAGGTGGGGAGGGTCATGGTTGGGCCTGCATCTCTATACGTGGGAGACCCAACAACAGGCTGTTTTTCTGCTTGAAGCTGGAAGTTCTGAGCACACAATTGTGCGCGCCCTGAGGTTTGAGATCCCCATAAGAGCCCAGTCATCGGATAGTGGAGACGCGCCCGTTCCTCTGCACATACCTCCACATGTGCAGTTGTGTGCACACCCACTCACAGATGCCTCAAACAAACGCCACAAACACAGGCATACACGCATGCACAAACCTCCAGAGGTCTCCAAGGACACGCAGGCACACACTGATGCGTACACATCACGCTGGTGGCAAATGTAGGTGGACACGGCCGGTATGTGTCCATGCAGACCCAGGAAGGTCTGTCATGAAATATTTATTAGACTGCGGAAGAATAAAGGACAGGTGCAAGGACGGGACGGGCGGGGTCAGCACGGTGGAGACGGCCGTTGTGGTTTCCCGGGACTGGTGCTGGGGCAGGCTTCTGGGGGATAATCTTTGCCCACATACATCAGCGTTGCACTGCTCCTCTCCTTGGCCCCTAGACTCCTAGAGGGGGTAGACCCTGTCCTCAGTCTGGTATTCGAGACCCCCAGACTCTCCTAGGGCGTACCCTCGCTGTCCCTCCGGCTCCTTCCTTGCCCAGTCCAACCCCCAAGCCTTAGCTGGTGGTCTCCTCGCAGAGGGCAGGAGATTCCTCCTCCCAGGAGCCCTCCCAGCCCAGGCTCACCTCTGCTGATGATCCCAAAATGCCTAATTTCGGCCGTCTTTATCTGGAAAGAGAGAACAGAGTCCGTGAAATGCGACTGGGTGCCAGGAGGTCCGGGAGCCTTGAGGGGGCAAGTAGAGGTGGAATATAGCCCGCCGGGGTCCGCATCAGCCCAGCCCCAAGCGGTAGGAAGGAGCCGGCCAGAGGTGTGAAGGTGGACTCCAGGAAGGAGCCTGAGGAAAGAGGGGGGCAGGGAGGGGATTAGAGGGGGAAAGGATGCCTGGATCGTTGGTGAGGAAGACAGGCTGGGACTGGAGCCCAGGTGCCGGACTCAGAGCTGTCTAATGGGGACCCGTCTGGCGCTGGGGACTCACGCCACCCCCTGAAGCCGCGCCGCCTCCTCTTGCATGCCCATGTCAATCAGCACGGCTGCCGCGAGCTCGGCGGCGTAGTCTTCACGGTAGAAGGAGACCAGTTTGTCTGTGAGGTCCACAGCGTCTAGAGGCCCGAGAGCACCCCGCGGGATGTTCCGAAAGCCCTGGCGTAGCGGCACCACCCCCATCTTCAGCTTGAACTTCTTGAGCTCATCGGTAGTGAGGTTCTCCAGCGCCTCCAGGATGGCGTCGCGCTTCTTTCCCATGGCTCAGCCCTGTGGCCTCTGGACCTCTGAATGACCCGCGCAGTGAGCCACCAGGCCTGCCCCGCCCCGCAGCAGGCGGGGCCGCCATCTGGGAGGATGTCCCAGGGAGGAGACTGACCTGGCAGCCGGCCAGGGGAGTCCTTGGTCCAACCCTGGGGCCCAACGGGTGGGGACTCAGCCCGGGCAAGCAGCGCTTTGAAGGGGCAGGCTGGGATCTCCCACTTTCCGAGGGGTCAGGAGGGTGCCAATTTGTCACAACTACAGGTTAGGTGGAGATTGCTTGCTGTTCCATTCTTCAGAGAAGGAAACTGTAGTTGGAAGCCATGGAGGCAGGACTGGAGCCCTGCACTGTCTCATTCCAGGCCTTGGCAAGAGCTGTTAGGATTTCTCCTATGCCTGTATTTCAGGAGTCACAAACAGACAGGCCTGGGCTAGGATCCTGCCCACAGATGTGTTTGTTTGGTCAGCGCCACAGTCACTTTTATTAAATTGCCTCCCCCAAGAGTTCATGAGTTTTCAGGGAGGCTAACTGGAGTGTTTTGATGATGTTCTGAAAGCTAAGAATAGGGAGGCTGCATTTCTTCTTTGGTACATCCTACACTCAACCCCTGAAGCCTGTTGGGTGCCAGGCCCTGTGCTCTCCCAACTGGTGGGGGAGGCTGATAATGACCATATTTGTCATCCTTACAAGGACCTGTGCTGAGGGGCTGACTGCTGAGGGGATGGAATCAGGGAAGGCAAGGCCAGGGAGGCATTAACAAAATAGACATGGGGAAAGGGCGGGCATTCCAAGCATCAGGAATGATCAGATGCCAGCCTAGCTGCAGGAAGAGCTGGCATCGAGGCCGAGCTGGAGAAGGCAGGTTTAGGATGGGAGGTGTGGGTTTGGGGGGCGCTACTCTCATCAGTTCTTCATGCCCCACCCCCCAGACGCAGCTCCCCCAACAGAAGATGCAGCTGCAGGAGGCATGTATGCGCAAGGAGAAGAGTGTGGCTGTGCTGGAGCATCAGCTAGCGGAGGTGGAGGTGAGAGCACTTCCTGGCAGAGTCAGTGGACTGGAGATCCAGGTTGGGAGTCCCCAGCCAAGTGCTTTTGCCTGTCTGCCCCCTCCCCAGGAGACAGTGCGTCAGTTCCGGGGGGCCGTGGGGGAGCAGTTGGGCAAGATGCGGGTTTTCCTGGCTGCATTGGAGGCTTCATTAGACCGAGAGGCAGAGCGTGTGCGGGATGAGGCAGGAGTCGCACTCAGGCGGGAGCTGGGGGGCTTGAACTCTTACCTGGAGCAGCTGCGGCAGATGGAAAAAGTGCTGGAGGAGGTGGCGGACAAGCCACAGACTGAGTTCCTCACGGTGAGTGCTCAGTCCCCAGAGACTTCATCCCATTATCAGACAGGGACCATGAGGTCCAGAGAGGGGCAGGGATGAGCCAGGGTCACACATGGAGAAGGCGTGGGCTCCAAGACTGCCTTTATGGTTGTTTAGGTTCAGCACCGCACAAGGACACTATATTTAAGTGGGCACCATTTGCATCATAGACATAGTAGATTTGTGTATTTATTAGTACAATCTTCTAACAGGTGGAATTAGAGTTTTCTTGGGAAGGGGACACCTTTCTCTAATTCACACAGAGGTAAAGGGCTGGGGTGGCCCCTAGTTCTGAGTTTCTTTTGGCTTCTCTGATTCTTCCTGATCCCACACCTCATCCTTGGAGATCCCCAGTATCCCCCTGCCTGCCTTACGTCTATTCTCTACTTCTCTCTCTCCAGAAATACTGCCTGGTGACCAGCAGGTGAGATCAACCTGGCCCTTCCCTTTTCCCCAAATGGCCCCAGTCTTCTAGGGACAGCACTGCGCCTGCACATCCTCATTCAATCCACTGCTATTTCACTGTATCAGGCTTTATGTTGAACATAGAATTGAACCAGAACTGGTCCTTACCCTAAGGGACCTCTCAGACTCCAGGCAGGGACACAGGCATCACTGTGTGCTCCATGCTGCTGTGGAGGGAAGGGGGTGGTCAGAGAAGTCTTCCGAAGAGGGACCCTTGAGTGGAACCCTGGAGAAATGACTAAGAATTGGCTAAGTAAAGAGTTGGAGGAAGAGTACTGCAGGCAGAGGGAACAGCAAGTGCAAAGGCTGGTAAGTGGGAGAGCAGATGAAACTGGCGTGGCACATGGGGGCAAACTGTGAAGGGCTGAGGAGCTTGAACCTTATCTCAAAGGAAAGATTTTAAGTTGGGGTATGATGTGGACAGATCCCGGAACTCCACCACAGCCCTGGTCCTCCTTGGGGTACTTGTTCTCCCCACCACCACCTCCATCCCATGCCTCCTCCAGGAAGGCTGCTCACAGACACCTTCTCCCACCTTCCTACTCCCAGGCTACAGAAGATCCTGGCAGAGTCTCCACCGCCTGCCCGCTTGGACATCCAGTTGCCTGTCATCTCAGATGACTTCAAATTCCAGGTGTGGAGGAAGATGTTCCGGGCTCTGATGCCAGGTACTGGGAGGGGCTGTCACCAGGTTTGTGTGTGTGACTGTGGTGGGGTTGATGGGAGGCTCCAGCCATACATAGGAAGGCCTCCCAATCTCAACAGGGAAGTCATCTAAGAGGGTGCCCACTGCTCCTTTACCTCTGAGGTTCCACACTCCATCCCCCTAATCCATGGCAGTGCTCAGAGAAGAAAGATTTTTGAGGGCGTGGGGTTTACAGGTGGGTAATTGACATGGAGAGGATGCTGCTTACCCCAGGAATGCTGCTGTTGATGGAATTAGAGGCATGGGAGACTGGGTCCTGGGTTTGATTCAGTGTGTCATCCCCACTGACTTCCTGTGTCATCCATGGGAAATGATAATCCCTGCTAGTTGGGGGCTAAGAAATTGCAGAGCTCCTGGGGGACTGCCCTGGGTTAGACACTGACTTCTGGTGGCCTGTGGCAGGGGAGGCCTGAGGGCTCAGCTTCCCCTCCTAAGAGCTAGAGTGCATCCAGCACTATGGGTTACAGAGCTCCAGGACATACACCCATGGCCCATGGAACCCTCACTGCCTCAGGGAAGATGAGAGTGGAGGAATCCCATTTTATCCAAGAGGAAACTAAGGTCCAGAGACTGGGTCAAGCCCAGCTGAGGTCACATAGTGAGGTGGGGCAGGGACTGGCCTAGGACCAGGCTTCCTGACTCGATTCCTGCTCTGTGATCTTGGGTCTTGGGGCATTTTGGGGCCTCAGATGGTGAGTTACATGTCTCAACTTAATCCTCCCCACAACCCTGGAGGGAGGCAGTTATGGCCTTAGTTTACAGTTGAGCAAACTGAAGCTCAGGAAGGAGCAATCTCTAGCCTGAGCCAGTAAGCAAAAGGTCTCACTTCCCAGAGATGTTGGCAGGATTAGCGGCTTGCCATAAACTCAAAGTAAACGTTGGTTGCGAAGGGGAACAACAGAGGCCAAGATGCAGGGGTCTGACCGTTGTCCTTCTGGCAGCGCTGGAGGAGCTGACCTTTGACCCGAGCACGGCGCACCCGAGCCTGGTGGTGTCACCGTCAGGTCGCCGCGTGGAGTGCTCGGAGCAGAAGGCGCCACCAGCTGGTGAGGACCCGCGCCAGTTCGACAAGGCCGTGGCGGTGGTGGCGCACCAGCTGCTCTCTGACGGCGAGCACTACTGGGAGGTGGAGGTGGGCGACAAGCCACGTTGGGCACTCGGCATTATCGCGGCTGAGGCCAGTCGCCGCGGCCGGCTGCACGCTGTCCCCTCGCAGGGCCTCTGGCTGCTCGGGCTTCGCGACGGCAAGATCCTGGAGGCACACGTTGAGGCCAAGGAGCCTCGCGCACTGCGCACACCGGAGAGGCGGCCGACGCGCATAGGTCTCTACCTAAGCTTCGGGGAGGGCACCCTCGCCTTCTACGACGCCACTGACGCTGACGCGCTAGTGCTGCTCTTTGCCTTCCACGAGCGCCTGCCCGGGCCAGTGTACCCCTTCTTTGACGTGTGCTGGCATGACAAGGGCAAGAACGCGCAGCCGCTGCTGCTGGTGGGGCAAGATGGAGGGCAGGCCTGAGCCACCTGGCTAGGTTGGGGAGGGGTGCCGGGTCCTGGCCGTTTGGGGCTCAGGCCTGGTTCCCCAGGCCTGGAGGGAGACAGGCAAGAACGGAGGTTGCCAAGGCTGATGGCTGAGCCAGGGGAGCCAGGGATTAGGGGTTTGCAAGAGCTCTGAGAAAGGTGGGGGGCTGATCTGGGTGAGCGGTTGGAGTGACACCATGAACAGGACCCGGTGGGGAAGGGAGATATGAAGGCAAGTCAATGAGGACATCTGAGTTTGGGCGCAGGGAGGCCCAGGGGTTCAGGGGCCTGGGGTTGGGGGGGCGGGTTGGGGAGGTGCCTAGGGATTTTAGAAGGAAAATGAGGTTAAGGGAGGGAGGGAAAAGGGGCCAGGTTTGGGGAGCATGGAGGGAAGAGCTTGAGAGCGTCTGTAGAGTAAGGGGCCCCTTCAGCCTTAGACTTCCCCCACCCCCAGTAGCATTGAGGCAGAGTACCCAGACTCTGCCATACCAAAAGGTCTTTCACTTTGATAGCGGTTCTCCAACTTGAGCACGTGTTAGAATCATCCGGAGGATTTGTTAAAGCACAGATTGCTGAGTTTCTGATTCAGCAGGTCTGGGACAGGCCACCCATTTGCATTTCTAACAAGTTCCAGATGATGCTGATGTATGTCCAAGTTGAAGAACTAGGACCCAGGATCACACTTTGAGAATCACTGACTCAGAGACACCTGTCTGTTTAGTTAGCTATCAGTGTAGATTGAGACATAGAAAATCCAAAATATATTTCTCCATTCAACAGACATTTAAAATTTGCCAGGCCCTATGTTGGATGCTTGGAAACCCTGGTAGTGTAGTGGTTAAGAGCTACGTCTGCTAACCAGAAGGTCGGCAGTTTGAATCCACCAGGTGCTCCTTGGAAACCGTGGGGCAGTTCTACTCTGGCCTGTAGGGTTGCTATGAGTTGAAATTGACTTGACGGCAATGGGTTTCGGTATTTTTTTTATGTTGGATGCTACGGAGATGAATTAACCTACCCCCAACTTATTCCCTTTGCCTCTGGAATATGTTTACTGAGTGTCTTGGACATTGAGGAAATTCCCCAGATTGTCAACCCAGAGAAAGAGCCTGATGCTAACCCCATGCTGGGCCCTTCTGCTTGTGGAGGATAGAAGGTCCACCTCCTCATGAGATGGCCCCTTACTGCTTCCTTGCTGGCTCACACCTTCTTTGATTTTAACTCAAAGGCCAATTTCTTGGGCTTTGGAGTAACCACGGAGGCTCAGAGTAAGAGTCCCTCTTATCCTGAGGGAGAGGCCTTTGGGGATTCGGATAGGTAGGATTTTAGTGCTATCCTCGGGGCAGATGATGGCATGGAGTCATCGACTCTCACAGGGTGGTCGTGCTGCTGCTGTGTGAAAGGGCCTGGAGACCCCTGGCAAGAGGTACCAATGTGGGGATTTTCTTGGGGGGATGGTGAGAATGGGACTAAAAGATGGGGCAAAAGGAAGATGTGGATGGGGTAAGAAAAGCCTGGCTGGAGGTGGGGGTTCCTGGGTGTATCTCCCATAGGAAAGACTGGTTAGGCCCCTGGCCCTTGGTGACAAAAGGGACGATTAATTTGAGTAGCTCTTTCATGCTAGAAAATAAAACGATAAAATTAAAGGATTATTTCGTTGTAAAATCCAGCACTATTAATAAAAACTATTGTATTCTGACTCCTTCTTCATTAACTCTGTATGAAGACACAAGTGACCTACTGGCATGTCTCTTAATTGCCCTCCTAACCTTCAGTCTTGTCCCATCTAATCTTTCTAAAAGCACAGATTTGGTCAGGTAGCTCAGTTGCTTGAAACCTTTCGGTGACTCCCTGCCACCTACAAGATAAAGCCCCAAGTCTTTGGCTTGGCATTTGAGGCACACTCCATTTCCTAACCTCATCTTATACTACTGCTCTGTGTGTGTCTGTATTCTGGCCATTCCCCCGCACACCATGCAACTCTGCTAGAAATCCGTTTTCGCTCTCACTCATCCTTCAAGACTCTTCTGAAACACCACCACTATTTCTTATCCTAACTCTCCCCCAGGTATAGTTAGTTACTCTCCATTCTGGATCTCTCCAGCACCTCCTTTATAATGTGCATCCCATTGCATTGAATTGTCTACACACAGGTCTCCTTGTCATGGGCATCTGGGGAGGGGTGGTAGTGTCCAAGAGCCCAAAGCTTCCTTCTGAGGAAATGAGCCCTCTGAGAAGCAGATAGCGGGACAGGATTGAATGTTCAAGGAGTTTATTAGGGAAATTTCCTGTGGGAGAGAAAATTAGTGGGGGTGGGGCACGAGGGGAGCCGTCAGATTGTGTGCAAGCCAGACCATGAGTGAAGAAGAGAGGGAGGGTAGTTGGTGGAGGTGTCCTCGACTGTTATGGGGAGTCTGTCTTAGTTATTTAGTGCTGCTGTAACAGAAATACCACAAGTGGATGGCTTTAACAAACAGAAATTTATTCTCTCACAGTTTAGGAGGCTAGAAGTCTGAATTCAGGGCGCCACCTCCAGGGGAAGGCTTTCTGTCTCTGTTGGCTCTGGAGGAAGGTCTTTGTCATCAATCTTCCCCTTGTCTAGGAGCTTCTCATAGCAGGGACCCTGGGTCTAAAGGACATGCTCCACTCCTGGCTCTTCTTGCTTGGTAGTAATGAGGTTCCTCTCCTTTCTGCTCAATTCTCTCTTTTATATCTCAAAAGAGATTGACGCAAGATACAACCTAATCCTGTCAATTGAGTCCTGCCTCATAACTGCCTCTGAATCCTGCCTCAATAATATCATAGAGGTTACGATTTACAACACATAGGAAAATCACATCAGATCACAAAGTGGTGGACAACCACACAATACTGGGAATCATAGCCAAGCCAAGCTGACACACATTTTTGGGGGACACAATCCATAACAGAGTCCTTGAGCAAACATTCCCCAAGAGAGGAGTCCTGTGGCTTGCCTTAGTGTTCCCGTTGTGCTCAGTCATTGGCAGCCACCCACAGGAAGTGTGGGTTTCACAACCTTTCAGCTCTGGCCCTTGGTCAGTTATGCCAAGTCAGAGTTATATCAGGAAACAGTTTCTTTTCACAGCTGCCACAGGCTCTTTCTGCATAAAGTTGCCCTGGTTTAAGTCATGTGCACTGAGGGAAAATGACCCTGTAATCTTGCCTGTGGGTGATTGGGTGAGAGATTGAGTCCCTGAGCCAAAGGCTGCCATGGTAGAGTGAGTTTGCTGGAAACTCTGCCTAACTGGGGTGCTCCTTATTGGGTGATGGCTGCCTCATTAGGCAGGGATTATCACTGCTGTTTTCTTTTTCAGTCAGATGAGGATACTGACCGTTAGAGGAGGTAACACAACCAGGAAGTAGCAAACCTGGTTCTGTCTAACTCGGAGCTAGTTTACAGCTCTGGGTCCTGAGGTGAATTCCATCTCCAGGTGGGATGTTCTACCAATAATGTTGATGACGTTAGCTGCCATCAAGTCAGCTCTGACTCATGACGATCCCAAGCACAACAGAATGAAACCCTGCCTGGTCTTGCACGAGCCCCAGGATTGGTTGCAGATCGGACTGTTGTGATCCACAGGGTTTTCACTGGCTGATTTTTGGAAGTAGGTCACCAGGCCTTTCTTCCTAGCCTGTCTCAGTCTAGAAGCACTGCTGAAACCTGTTCAGCCTCATAGCAACACACAAGCCTCTACTGACAGATGGGCAGTGACTGCACATAAGGTGCACTGGCAGGTTATCGAACCCAGGTCTCCCGCATGGAAGGCAAGAATCGTACCACTGAACTACTACTGCCCCCACCTCCAGTGTTAAGTTGATGGTTTTACAGGGACACAGTCTTGGCATTCATTCGTCAGTGACTCACATAGGAAAATGTTCTTCTCTTTTCAGTACTCTCATAATCCTTCTGATTCAGTCCATGAGAAAAATCTCCATTTGGGATTCTTTGGCCCTTAGCACCTTTCTGACACCAATCTTTTTAACCGAGCAAGAGTGTAAATCTCAGGCTCAGAGCCGTTGGCAAGCAAAGCCTTCCAGGGATAGTTTGATTTTGTTTTACATTCATTATACTTATTTTTACTATTACCTTCTGTTTATAGCAGGTGATACTGGTTTTTCATTTGTGGTATTAATACAACATTTACTCTTAATTACATTTATCGAAAGAACACACACATACTCGTAGATAGTTCTAGCTTATCTTCGGAAAGATATAAAAAAAAACCTGGTACTTCAGTTCTGGGTAGCCAGGGGCAGGGATGGGAGGAAGACTTTTCACGGTAAACACTGTACCTTTTGAATTTTGAACCATATATATTGTCTACTCAAAATATAAGTTTGATTCTTAAAACTGGAAGTAAAGTGGAAAAAAAGTAAACTTCAAAGCATTAAGTCAACACATTGGTCACATTAACTACAGTCATTAATGTGAGAATGACAAATTTGAAAGAGGCAAAAATAGTGAAGACAGTACATGAAAGAAGGAGGTCTGGGAAGCGCTACTTGAAGGATCTGAGGTATTTCAGCAAGTTCCACTTCAAGTGGAAGAGGCGACAGGGGTAGAGGGAGTTTGTGGTGATGATCAGGGTCAGGAAGCCCCGGTTGCTGTGTGACTTTCACAAGTAATCTCTCTTTTCTGGGTCTCAGTGTCCTTATCAGTAGTGGGGAGGGGCTGGACCAGATAATTTTCTGAGATTCTGCTGTCTTAGTTTGGGTTCCCCTAGAATCTGATATTTAGACAAAGATCCCAGGGAAAGCAGGCTTACTTGCAACGTGCAGAAAACACTTGCAGGGGAGTAGCGGGCAAGACCAGAAGGGAAGGCGGCCGTTGAAGGTACAATATGAAGCAGGTGTCAAAAAAAAAAAAAAAAGAAATCTGATCAATAAACCAATTATGTAGCGTTAAAAGGGTTATTAGGTGGAAAAAACTGTGAACAGGGAGCGCCCTTCCGAAGAAACAAGCTTGTCATATTACGATCTTGATTAGCTTATATACAGTACAAACTCTTAGGGGGTTCCCAAAAGGGACATTTAAAATGATTGAGTATCATTCACCGAATCACCAGGAGGAGGCTGGGACTG